CGTTCGTTATTTCTCTCTCGTTTAAGTGCGGGAAGTTGCGCGATCAGGATTCCACCAATATACGAAAGGAGAGTCTCGTCACGCGAAAAATCAACATCCGCATCTGCGTAACAATAAAGTACAAATTCCTCACGCGGACCGGCAAAAAAAGTTTACTTCGCGAACGTTGAGCAATTTAAGTATACGGCCGCGTATATATGGTAGATATGTATATAATGTGTGCCGAGAAACGATCGCGCTTTGTGTGGTCAAGGTAAGGATTTCATAACTCCGACACCGTGGCGACGTCCACTCGTCAAGGAATACGATTCAGTGCTGCACGATCGGTATCGAGAAGACGTACCTCTCCGGTACGTACGAGTTTGAATGGAGAAACATTTGAACTAACGAATCGATAACGGGTCGTCGCGTCCGTCTATTATTGAAAGTATTTTTACTTTAACTTTCATTTGAATTTTTATTCTCATGCTGTGTGGAGTGTTATTTATTTCTTATGACCCTTCGGTATCACACATTACGTTTTATCACATGTATAACATACTACTGTATGTTGTTTAAAAATATCGTGTATAAAAGAATATATTTAATAACTGTTTTTCAATCGAAATGTGAAATATTAAGAAATTTAAAGGTAACGAGCAAATATATTAGTATCAATTAGTGCTTTTCCGCAAGAACTACAATGTAACACATCAGTGATCATTTCATTTTTGTTTAACGTTAGTAAACAAAGAATAATGACTTACTGTATATATTAGGCTGGTATCACATTTGTCGTACGACAAAGATATTTGAAGTTTATTGAATAGTTACAGGATAAAGAGATCCGACAACTTTTTCTTGCAGCCAATCAATAGGCTTGGTATGCTTTGTCGTACGACAAATGTAATATTAGCCTTATATTATCGTGCAGTCATCTGTGTCTCTTGCTAGAGAGCATCCTTTATTAACCCTAGAATGCTATGATACGTAAATTTTACGTACAAGTGAGCGAGCTCGTTGAGCATTAAGTTATGCCTTCATTAGGAGATCCAATATCGGCCATGCTAAAAGATAAAACAAACGGAGATATGATTTTAAAAATTCTCTTACACATACACACACAACGCATTAGTTGAACTACCAGGTGGTCGATATTATATACCAGTGATAAGTGATTTCCATTTTTTTAAAGCTTTGTGTTATTATTTTGTTGTTATATATTTTATTAATCTGTTTGAGTGTCATGAGGAAACACACAATTTAATTACTTACTATTATAATATAAAGAGATAAGGGCAATGAGCCAATAATTATTAATTTTGAGCCAATAATTAATAATTATACTCATTACCCTTATCTCTTTATATTAGTTGTTAAATACATATTGAGCCTTATCACAAACATTTGAATTACTTACTCCATATCATTTCAACATTGAATTTGATAATGTACTTATTATTTCTTTTTGTTTAAGTTGCTTAATATGAAACGTGTAAAAAAACTTGATACATTATGTTAATTAAGAACGTCTTTTTTGCAGGGAATGGAAGAGTTACTTTTACAGTTACTTTTACAGTTACTTTTTATAACAATGTGGTAACAATGTTGCAATTTTTTATGAATGTAATTATAACTAAACGCTTAAGAGAGGCTAGAATAATTTTAGCCTCTTAAGCGTTTAGTTAGTTATCATTATAGTCATAAAAAATTACAACATTGTTACCACATTGTTATAAAAAGTAACTATAAAAGTAACTCTTCCATTCCCTGCTTTTTTGTACATAAAATTTACGTATTAATATAGCAGTATTATATCACTCTATCGACAGTTTTCTAGAGTTAATAAAAAAGTTATAACATATAAAATAAAAGAAATGATCGGGTATATGATATCCTTAATGACACCGAAGGGTGCTGGTCTCTTAATTGATCTCGTTCGATTCACTGATTCACGTGCTGCTCTTCCGTGACGTTCAAACCTTCGCGAACGAAGGTATGGCGAACACCGTGTAAGGGATGAGCCATCGACTCGATCGGTTTCGTGAGCTCGGTCGTCTTCATGAGTAAGTAGTCAATTTGAACTCTCGCAAGCCGATCGCGCGTCGGCATGCATCCGAAATCGTTCGAACTTGTTCGCGATTCGCTCCGAAGCGCTAACGAGAAATGGTTATTAAATTGCAAATCGTCCACATCCGCTTCTGCGAACAACGGGCCGCCTTATGCGTCACTACGGCACCACCATAGTGCATATAGAGTGCATATAGTTTATAGCGCGGATATTGGCGAGAATAATCTTTCCTTTACATAGGAATGATTTTTTGCCCAGGTACTTATCTGAATATAGATCTGGAAGTAATTTTGTTGGACCATCAAATTAAATAACTATGTGGGGCGCTCCAACTGGAATGTCAAAACTTTGCAGCATTGCTCATCATGCTTGAAATTCCGATGTAATTATTTTGTTTTAACAAAATTATTTTCAGATCTGTAACTCCAGCTATATTTAGATATTTCAGCAAAATTGTTCTTTCTCCGTGTATGCATGCATAAAAGTTATTCTCGATGCCAATGATAATAAACTTATACTCGAAGAATTGATCGACGAACATTAAATGTGTATGTAACATCTCCATAGTTGTTTTGTCCTCTTGTTTTAGCTGACGTTTTGCATTTGATTGTGAATCCATGCATTGTCGACTCGATTCGAAAGCTCTTTGTACGACTCGCGCGAGCATTACATTCCTCCTAGTTCCAAGAAACGTGCCTTACACTTCCACGGAAATTCTCTCTCCCTACAAACTGTATATATTGCACTTTGCGAGTTTATAAAGTTCAAAGTTAGCCAGAAATTGGGAGTCGATCGATAAAGATATACCGTCGACTATTCCTGTTTGGAACATCGATTTACATTTGTTTGGTTATTAATAAGATGTTATATTTAACTTTATCATGAATTAATGAGACGTTCTAACAATAATTTAAATAGTTTTTATAAATTAATAAAAAATGTGTTAACAAATAAAAAAAAATTATAATTCTAATTTCTTTGTGAAAAATTCACATTTTTTTACTCTGTGTGTTGCGAGAGAGATATTTACTAATTTATTTTCTTGTTTTCCTAATTTTTTTAAATAGCACTTTATTATTTTGCCTTACAGTTTTATTAAAGTTTCTTTCTTTAATTTTTTTAACGATCTATGAAAAATCATAGAATGATATTTCGGACATTTGACAAGAATAAAATGCATACGCGACACATTGTATGTATAACATAATATCTGCACATGCGTGCAAATTTCGCAAATTTTGCGAAATGTAGAAGCTGCACGCAAAACAGAGTTTTAAAAACATTCACAATTTTTGTTCTCTCTCTCTCTCTCTACGCTAGAATTTTATTTCAAATCTACATATTTATGTAAAATTTTAAATAAAATAATTATACAATAAAATTTTTGAACGCGCGCATAATATTGTGTATAAATATCATCATTTTTTGGCGAAACGCATACACATGCACCATAAAAACATCACGTATTATATATAATTATATAAATAATATGAGTGTTATAATTATATAAATTATATCAGAGTGTTATGTAAATGATTATATAAAGCAAATATACATAACATAAAGTATGAAAATACTCTGTCATTAAGTTTTATATTTACATATACATATGCGCATTCGTCCGTTAATTAGCGAAGTAATATTATGCGCCGCGACGCGATGCATCGTGACGTTCGCCGCTGTTTGCGAGTTGCCGTCGCTCTCGCGAGCGTGAAGTACGGTGCAGGACGGTAGGCGGTGTGCCAGTCTACCAATCATCCGCGACGTCACGGCACTGTTCGCGACTTGCTTTTTTAGAGCAATTATTTCAATGCGCCGCAGCGTGCAATGATTTTGCACTCGTGGGCGCTCGCCGATCGATGCCACGCGTGTCCGTCCGGCATCGGGCCGAAATGCGAGTGGGCGTAAAGTCGCCGCCGGGCCCAACGGAATTGCTGTGCGCCGTAGATAACCTAGAAGGATGATGGTGATGCCGTCACGTCGGCGATACGCGACCGTGTCGTAAGACGGGTGTATCGCGTAGGATATCGTTATGAGTTGCGCGTGCCATTTAATCTGATTTGATCGCGACGTGGAATTACGGCGAGATCGCCGATCGCGTGGGATTTGGCTCCGCGCGGCTTATAGGTTATCTCAAGTCGATTGGAGGATCGAACCGAATCGTCGCCACAGATTCGCAGTATTTGTACGATCTGTCGTCGTGTTGTGCGCATCCTGCGCGTCATCATACCGATATCATCTATAGAATTTCATCAGCGGATTTATATATCGTTCCGTCGGTCCATCATGTATCTTGTGAGGATCGAGCAGCCTTTTCTGTCAATAGCTCCCATCTGTCTTAGTTTCGAACAGGTGACAACTTTTCTTCGAGTGTCGTCTAAATTTCCTAATTTTTTTCTGTTCAATTGAATCGGAATGGAGAAAATTGTATAATATCGCAGAGATATGCGTGTATCACGAGATACTGTGTCACTATGATAACAAGCGTTATCTTACTCCGGATCTACAATAAATTTTTAAGCCTTATGCCATAAGAAATGGACGAATTACAATCAATTATTCTCCACGTATTTGACTGTAATTGGTCAATTTCTTACGGCTTAAGGCTTAAAACATTTATTGTAGATCCGGACTTACCAACGCGTATAATTTCTCTTTAAATTTGTTTAAATATTCCTAAAATTTATCAGTAAAATATTTGTCTTTACTTTTGTTGCAAATATATTTTTGCCATTTTTTTTTTTTTTTAATGAAAAGTTTATAATGACACATAGACTCTTTGTTTTGTTACAGCAATATAAAAGAATAGGCGTGATTATATTCTGGAGAAATTTCTGAGATAACATAGTAGCTGTTACAATGTGTTTGTGATTGAATACAGACCTTTCACATCGGATCAAATAATGCTTAGAACTATCATATATCTTTGTATAACCTGACTGTATCGAAAATGCAGGCCAAGAAACGCTATCTATTATTATTCGTAACATGTGCGTTTCTTGGTTATTGCTATTTCGGTGGATATCGTTTAAAAAGCGAAAAATGGACAGGCAGATCTCAGTTGCCTTATGAGCGATTGCCTTCATATTTAAGTCTAAACGAAGAGTTCTATGACAAAGATTTAAAGACATCCAGCGGGGCTTTGATCATATCTCAACGTACACGGTATTGTCGTATGGAAACTTGCTTTGACTTTACAAGATGCAAGCAAGGTTTCACCGTGTATGTTTACCCGGTCGAGGATGTGATAAGTCCACTATACCAAAAAATATTAAATGTTATCACGGAGTCGAGATATTACACGTCGGACCCAGCACGGGCATGTATATTTGTCTTAGCCCTGGATACATTAGATAGAGATCCCTTATCGACTGAATTTGTACACAATCTTCCCTTGAAATTATTGCACCTGCCATATTGGAATAACGGAAGGAATCATCTGATATTCAACTTGTATTCTGGTACGTGGCCCGATTATTCCGAAGAATCGCTGGCTTTCGATGTGGGTTATGCCATGCTCGCTAAGGCCAGCATGTCCATCTTTAAACACAGACCTGACTTTGATGTGTCAATACCTCTGTTTGGCAAACAACATCCGGAACGTGGTGGAGAACCCGGCCAAGCGTTAGAAAATAATTTTCCTAATAATAAAAAATATGTGGCAGCTTTTAAGGGAAAACGATATGTGCATGGCATTGGATCCGAGACAAGAAATGCTCTCTATCATCTGCATAATGGTAAAGATTTGGTGTTTGTTACAACTTGCCGCCATGGGAAGACTTGGAGAGAATTCCAGGATGAACACTGTCAGCAAGATAATCAAGAATATGATACGTAAGTAGCGAAAATGTTGAAATTGTTTGAATCGCGTGGACATTGTTCAAAATATAATTACTCATATTTTTCATTTTGCAGATATGACTATGAAATTTTATTAATGAACGCTACGTTTTGTCTCGTTCCACGAGGACGACGATTAGGTAGCTTTCGATTTCTAGAAGCCCTGAGATCGGGGTGTATTCCAGTCATTTTAAGTAATGGTTGGGCTCTTCCCTTTCATGAGCGTATTGATTGGAATCAGGCTGTAATATTTTCCGACGAGAGATTATTACTCCAAGTGAGGAACATAATGCATATTTTGAATTAATTTTACTGTCACTTTATTCACAAGCGAATGATTAAATTTCATGAATGTTGCAGATTCCGGATATATTACGATCTGTGTCCAATGTACAAATTCTAAAACTACGGCAACAAACACAATTTTTATGGGAGAGATATTTTTCTTCTATTGAAAAAATTGTTTTTACCGTGTTCGAGGTAATTGCTTTTATCGTAAGTTATCAGAATCTTACGCTTTTGGCCTTTCGTTAATTATAATTATTAATTTAGAATATTCGCGAGCGTTTGCCATGGGAAGGTGCGAGGGAAAGAATTGTCTGGAACAATAGTCCTGGAGCATTGGCGATTTTGCCGCAGTTCACTGATAGTCAGCAGGAACTTCCCTTTTCAAACAGTAATCCTGGTAACACTTTCACTGCCATAATCTATTCGCAATTGGGATCCACCGCCGTACTTTATCGTTTACTTAGGAGTCTCGCGAAAAGCAAGTATCTAGATAAGGTAAGTCTATAGATAAGGTATCTATTGTTAATTTCTTATTATTTCTCTTTGTTATGCATTTTGTAATATATCTATCTGCTAACAAAATATTTTGTTCAAGATAATACTTATGTGGAACTCGGACATTCCGGTGCCAAGAAAACCACGTTGGCAAGGTATCAGAGCGTCAATTCACGTTGTCGCGGTTGATGGCATATCTCAACGTTTTTATCCTCATCCGTTAATCAAAACTAGTGCCATATTGTCACTCGACGAGGACGCCACTCTAAATACCGATGAGATTGATTTCGCTTTTACGGTTTGGCGGTCATTTCCTGATCGAATAGTAGGGTATCCAGCAAGGTCTCACTATTGGGATGACTCAAAGGTAGGTATTATGCAGTTCGCGTTAAATAACTTCCGTTTAGCCTATAACTGTTTCGTAATCGAGCTAATCTGGCTTTTATGTTCGTAGCGTTCCTGGGGTTATACCAGTAAGTGGACAAACGACTACAGTATCATTCTCACCGGTGCAGCTTTTTACCACCGCTATTATAATACTCTATATACCGAGTTGTTAAGCTCAACTCTCCATAAGACCGTGGAGCAGTCGCAGAATTGCGAGGATATACTCATGAATTTCCTGGTGAGTCACGTAACTCGAAGGCCGCCTATTAAAGTGACGCAGCGCAAATTGTACAAAGATACCACGGTAGCTGGAATTAGGTAGATATCATTAATAATTATGTTTTCGTTGACCAATATATATGATATCGTTATCGATTTCTGACTCATGTATCGTTGAATTTCAGATCGCCGTGGAACGATCCGGATCATTTCATACAACGACAAACATGCATGAACACATTTGTCGCTGTTTTCGGGTATATGCCATTGTTGCGATCTAACATGCGATTGGACCCCGTTCTGTTCAAAGATTCCGTGAGCAATTTGCGCAAGAAATATAGGCAAATTGAACTAGTTAGTAATTAGAATTGTACACACTGCTCGATTACGCATGACTATTTAATTTTTCAAGCGCGCCAAATAACGCAAAATCTTTGCGTACGATACTAGATCTATTTTTTTAGCGCACTTATGATAAAAATGAAGTCAGAAGAATGTTATGTATGTACATAATTTTAGAGAATGAAAAAGGAAAGAGCGGAATAATACGAGCAAGTGCAATAATTATAGCTAAAAAAACAGATCTACCGTCTTTGTCGTATGAATGTGCATATACAGGTATATACGGGACACATTCGCGCGTTTGCGTGCTATGCCATATTAGGCTATTGGTATTGTCGGGCAGCAAATCAAAGTCCGTTATTCTCAGCAAGGACGCACGGTGATATCCCTGCGATTTATTTGCTAGTAATTTTGTACAAATTGTAGAATCATAACGATGCCGTTTCAATTTGACGATATCTCGCGCAGCTATCACTAACTGCGGGTTAGCATTTAATTGATGTACATACAAATTATTTCGTAATTATTTTCGTAATTACAAAAAGTTGTTTAATAAACATTGGATTTTTCACATACTTGCTATTGAGATCGTTTGAACGATTTGAAAACAGATAGAAAAATCAAATTTTTCTTACGCGCGTGTTTTCGTACAATTTATCTTAACAGCTAAAAAGGAAAACAAAGAAGCAAAAAAATCATATTTGTATGTATAACAATATTTTTAATCATAGAAATTTGCGAATGTTTTTCTATTTGAATAAATGTATTTCATGTAATTCTTCTTAGATTCAGGATACGTAAGAAATCCGTAAAATTTTAGGGCGGACTTCGTCAAGTGCTTTGATAGTGGTGACGTGAAAGTCAATGTTTATATTGAGGCAAAGTGCAAGCAAGATCTGTTTATATTTAAAATGACTGTAAAGATGTTAGAATTTAATGCAATTATCGATATCGATTTTTCTTGCTATCGAATAATTTTAATACGATATAATTTTAAGCGTCGCCTTACTAACCCGTTTCCCCTTTTTATCACTTTTATCTCTTTTAAAAAAAAATATATATATATATATATCATGTATTTAAATTTGATCAAATTTTATATCTGAAGAGATTCTGTCAATTTATCTATAATCATGCACAATTATTTATGTGCATATTATTGCGTACGCTACATTGTTTCACTGAGTAATCACGTTCTACCGATCGCATTAGTTCACGAATATAGTTAACGAGATCGATCAGCATATCTATTCAGTTCAGCATATCTATTCGAATACTGCCGAGTTCTCAGGAACATGCTTGGAAAAAAAAGAAAAGAAACTTTCTTTATCAAGGCGTCGCAACAATATCTAGTCGTTTACACCGATATACGTTGTTACATGATGAGAGAAATAACATGTAATCCCTCAGTTAGAAGGATTGTACAATAATGTGGCATCTGCATGCGTCTTAAAGACGAAAAGCTATTTATATTTGTGATATGTTTTTTTTTCTGTGCGTTTCGTAATCATTCTAGAGGGACATTGAAAAAGCTCTATATAATTTTTATGCACAATATATTTCTGCAACTTGAGGAGGTATGCGTTAGAATCAAAAGCGATTGCGAGTTATAGTAATTGAAATTATCATTGTTATTCAGAATTTCATGTTATCATTAATTCTAATGATTGATTTACTTTACAATTGTCCTTGAGTTGCATCAATTGATAAATGTAAATTAGTATCTTGGGTGTATATAGAAACTGGTAGGATAATCTCTATCCTTCAATTGCTCGGCGAACAATCCTAATCGAATATGTTCCAATCGTTACCGGTCACTGAAGGCAAGCGTAATTCTTTGTACAAAGAAAAAAGTCCTATGCAGTGACCATAGATATTTTGATTCTATCCGATACGAAGTGATGGTTCCGATCTGTTAAACATTTTCCATATAATCGTATTGCGGAAAAAAATAATGTAAGGTAATAAGATATAGTATTAGTCATTTTATATGGGGAAAAAAAATAAACTGTTTTGTACAAAAAGAAACGCTGTTTGGAGATAACATAATTATTTTTATTGATCGTTCAATAGTAGATCCCGTGATATAATTGTAGATTTTACTGATCTATAAATTTTAGGAGAATGCTGACTCGTCTTCTAAGTCATAGAAGCATAGTATAGATTTATTAACAATTTTTTGCCGTAATGAACGATTATAATTTCGTATAATAATTATCTGATTATTGTAACTTATTATTTATAATAGTATACAACATATAAAGAAAAACAAAAGCATGGTAAAACTTAGACAATAAGCGAATCTGAGCCGCGAGTTTTAAAATAGTTGCCTCGACTATGATTGGCCAATTCACTTTACTGCTAGTTCACTGCTTACATTTTTCAGTGCTGCCGCTCTTCGAGCTTTCATTATCAGTATGTAATCCATAATTCACGAGCAAGGATTCTATCTTTTTTTTTGAAAAATTGTTCTGACAGAAATCTGGTCTGATTGTACGTAGACTGAAATGCATCTCGTCATCGCGCAACCCCTTTGGCTACAGGAAATCGAGTACGGATTCGGGGAATTAAAGATGCAGTGTGGCGTCGAAAGAAAAGCTCGAGTGACGCGGATTTTGAATGGTCGTCGAAGACGATCAGTGTCCATCACCCGGTCCCCACTCCATTCCTGGTGATCGCGAACGTCTATCGTATTGATGAGGTGGTGGGCAATGCGCGCGGTGGTGGGTATAGCACCAAGGCTCCCTTCTTTGTTGCCCGCTCTTGCTAGAAAGGTGACTATGCCATGAAGACGGGCGGTATCGTGCACGCCTCGCGTATATACCCGCAGTCACCTTTCTCTCCTCGTGACCGTAGCATACGTTCTGCGACGTCCATGGCGCATTCGCGGCTCTGAACAACGGCGCTGCATTGCTGCTGCGGCTCTCGTAGGCTCGCTCGTCGGCGCGCTCGTCGGAAGGAAGAGGAAGAGGAAGGGAAAAAAAAACGGAGATTCGGAGTGACGATCGACCCGCGAGGTCAGTCCGCGGGTAACCGAGTCCGGTGGATCCGGAGACACCGAGGGACTCGAACGGATTTTGAAATCCCCGCTCCGGTTTCGCCTCCCTTCCGGTGCGGTCGGTGTGAGTCCGCGTGCAGAGGAGAAGAGGATAACACAGCCGCAATCGTTCCTTCACCTTCGACCGATACCACCGACCACGTCGTGATTCCTACGTCAGCGACCAACAGCCACGAGGGAAGATGATAATCGTAAGCAGCGTGCTGCTGATACTGGCGGTCGTGTCGAGAGTGGGTAAGTTTACCCGACTTTCATTAATCGTTGTATATCTCCTCTTTACCGAGGGTGTGCATTTAAAGGCCGCATATAAACGCGATCGAGCCAACTGACTTTACGTCCGAAGTTGAGAGGGTCGTACTTTACCTCCTCTATTTTATGTGTGGTATTTGATACTGAAAACACAAGTGTCATTGCACTTTGCTTCTTTTACATAATCTTTAATATTCAATGAATATTTGACGAATATATTCTTGATTAATTGAGGACCGAATTAAATATTTCACTCTTAATGTGTATACAGTCGCATTAAAATCATCCAATGACATCCTTCGAAACGAATTTTACAGAAATCTTCTATTAAAATTTTATTCTTATCAAGATCATTAATGTTAATGGGATACTTCAATCGGTCATTTCGCTCAACGATAAACTCTAAAAAATGTTGGTGTGGATTTAGCGCTGTGCACTGAAAAAATTTAATGAATATTTAAATATTTCTAAGTAAATACATATTTACGAAATATAAACATATATTTATTTGATACAAAAAGACCTCAATTTATTATAATTTGACTATCATTTTTATATATTGAGTAAATAATTATTTACTGTAAGTTTATATGCTTACCATTTAAAGAAATATGTACGATATTAAAATTTAGTAATTTTTTTTTAGAGTGCGTTATATAATTCTCACTGTGTTGTTATTAATATTAACGCCCAAATATGATGTAAGTTTTATGATACAAATATACTCCTAATGTGTACCGCAGGGATTATAAATCCCTATCATGCTCGATGTAGTATTAACACCAACACGGTGAGAATTATATAGACACTACATGGTGTTAAATCCACACCGATATTTTTTTAGAGTGTACAGGTAATAGTAACGAATAAGGAATATTGCAGATCAACCGGACGGAGAATTGATTGCGCGGTCTCGGTGCGACAGGACAATTTATTGAGACAAAGTTTTTTTTCCTTCGAGAGGGTCCGCGGCGCGGGAAAGGCTATCGCATAGAGTGGAACTCGCTGGCAACTTGGGCTGGAATCGCATGCTCGCTCATTCGCTCGCTCGCTCGCTCGCTCGTATTAGCTGCGAAAATGTCAGTTTACGTAATGTCCGCGCCGTTGGATAACTGGCACACGCGGAAATCAAGCTATCGCGCCCGCCGATCCCCCGGGGTGCGCCCGAGGGTAGCGCTACACTCTCGAAGAACTCGCTTCCCGTCGCGCCTGATCCCTATGGTTGACAAGAATGTCCCGCATGGGCGACCGAGACGCACGAACGCACTTTTCTTTCAAACCCGCGCTGTCACGGCGCATGTCTTTTGAGCCGAGTTAATTATTCCAGGAGGCCGATTAATGTCGTATAGTGTTGCTTCAGGCAAATCTCGAGGGATTAACTGCGTAAGATGGAGGTACTAACGTAAAATTAATGAATATTAATTTAAATGGGATGTCACTTTATTACTTTCGATTTCAATACATCAACGGCATAACTGCACTAGATTGTGCTGAAGTATTTGAAAATTTTGCTGAAATATCTAAGAATTTAGTTAGATATAAATCTGAAAATATATATTGTATATAATTTTGTTGCCCCATTTAAATAATTATATAGAACGCTCAACTGGTTGAATACTTAAATTTTTGATAGCATTGCTTATCGTGCTTGAATTTCCTACATAATTATCTTGATGAGCCAATAAAATCATTTTCAGATTTGTATCTAACTAAATTCTTAAATATTACAGCAAAATTATTCATTCCGCAAAAATGATTTCTGTAATTTGAACATCTGGGTCTTCTTTTTAATTAAAAAAATGTATAATTTCTTTAATAAATATTTATTTCAAAAACAATAATAAATGATGTAAAGGACTCTTAGTTTAAAACAAATAATAAATTAAAAAGACAAATTAAGAGTCAAGAATTAAAAAATTTTATAATCTTTAAATGAAGTGGTCAAAAACATAAAATAAATATTAAATCGTCAAAAAAACGCAAAAAACATAGCATGTAAAAACAAAAGAATTAAAAAATAACTTTACATTATCGCAAAATCGTAGCTCTTCAAATACATAACTTAACTAGTTTCGACTCTTGAATTGAGTCTTCTTCTTTTGTTTTTACATGCTATGTTTTTTGCGTTTTTTTGACGATTTAATATTTATTTTATGTTTTTGACCACTTCATTTAAAGATTATAAAATTTTTTAATTCTTGACTCTTAATTTGTCTTTTTAATTT